AGGAGGGCAAATCACACCAGAGGTTGAAGTACCACCCACTGCAACTGTTCTTCAAGCGAAGGAGAGGATCGAGGAGTGTTTGAATATCGAAGTTCATAGGCAGAGCCTTTGGGCTGATAACATTGAGCTGCAGAATCATGAGACTGTTGAAAATCACGTTGGCGAACGATATGGTATGCTGAGGCTCAGTGTCACACCCTCTGGTCTGCCAAAATGCAATATTTTGCTCAAGTTTCCAAACCAAAGTATCGGCTATGTACGAATAAATGAAACATGTACTGTGGACGATTTGAGAAGCAAAATCGGTAGGCGCTGGGGGATTGTGACGAGTGATCGCATTACTCTTTTCCATCGTTCTACAGAAATGCTTAGCGACCGTCCTCTTTCTGCATACTATATAACCGATGATTCTGAAGTTGTGGTTAAGATTGAGACTGAAGCTCGTTAGTTGGTTGTTATGACGATAGTTTAAAAAGGAAGTTTGATCATGTATTATCTTGTTTTCGTGATTACACCATCGAGTCTACCCGCCGAGTCTTATTAATTAAGAGTATAATTAAGCTTTTGTTTCCTGATTTGTACGTTTGGGTTATGAATCATCAACTAATAAACTCTACCTAAATAATGGGTGATCATCTAATGGTAGAATATATTCAGTGTTGTCAATTGTAATGGACTTATATGCAACCAAAAAAAAAAATGGAGACTTTATATGAATGACTTTTATTGACACTCCTCACTTAATTCTAGTGTTATGTGATGTACTCAACTTAACTCGAGTCTTTCATGTTTTGGGATTAGAGTCTTTCATGGTGAAGTGAAAAAAAAAGTTTAGGATTCATTTGATAATCATTTCAGTTTTTAATTTTTTTTTTTTAATTGAAAACTAAATCTTAAAGACACAAGCCCATTTGGTAACTACTTTTACTTTTCACTTTGGATGCTTAAGAAATGAGGAAAGTACATGGGAGAAAGATGGTAAAGAAAATTGGTCAAAGAGGAAGAAATAAGGATGAATGAATAATAACAAAATTTTAAAAATAATATTGACGCAACATGAATTAGTATTACAGTCTACCACATCTCTTAGAATTCAAAGTGAGAGATTTTATATTTAACTCTCAAAAATAACAAATTCGATACTAATTTATATTCATGTTCAATGTAAATGTATTGTAGTAATTTTTTTCTTTGCTTTTTGAATTTTAATTTGTACCTATCTAGAAAAAATATTATTAATTTCTACCCGCTAAAATTGACTTCCCTTCTTTCCAAAACCTGAAGACTTAAAACCTCGTCTCTTGTCCTTGTTTGCTGTGACAAACAATGTCTTCTCGTAAAGCCTTCAAAACGTTGAAGAAAGTCTTCCCCGCAGAGCCCACGTTCATATCGAACCAAGAAACCGCCGAGAAGATTGTCAAAACCCTAATCAAATCAGGCATTCAACCCCTCAAATCAACCTCATCATCTCTGCTCTCCAGTCTCAATCCCCACATAACAAACCTTGTCCTCTCAAACCCACTAGTCCTACCACATTCTTGCGTAAAATTATTCAACTTTCTCCAGAAAAATCCATCCCACAAACCCAATCTTAAATCCCACGTTACCCTCCTTTGCAGGCTTTATCAAGCTAGAAAATTTGCCCAGATGAAGATTGTACTGAATGTTATTGTCACGAATGATAATCTTCGATGCCCGGTTTCCGAAATTGCGTCTCTGATTGAGGAGGGGCCTAATGGGATGAAATTTGCTGGGACATTGTGCGATATGCTGTTCCGGGTTTATGCAGAAAACAAAATGGTTGAGGAGGCTATTGGGGTTTTTGATTATGTGGGCAGGAATGGGATTGAGATTAGAGAAAGGTCCTGCATTGTGCTTTTGCTTGCATTGAGGAAATGTGGTCGAGTGGATTCATGTTGGAGGTTCTTCGATCGAATGGTCAAAAACGGTGTTCGAATTACGGTTCTTACATATAACACAATTTTGAAAGCATACATTGGAAGGAAGGATTTTGAGGGCGCTAGTGAGGTTCTGAGGTTGATGGAGAAGGATGGTGTGGGTTATAATGTGGTGACATCCACGCTTTTGATAGATTTGTTTGGTAGTTCTGAGAGGATTGAGGATGCTCAAAAGGTATTTGAGGAAATGCCTGAGAGAGGGATAGAACCAGATTTGTATGTTTATACCTCGATTATTAATTGCTATTGTAAAGCGGGAAATATGGAGAGAGCGTTGTTTCTGCTCGGTGAATGTAATCAAAGGGGGTTCGTACCAAATGAGCATACTTATGGGGCATTGATTAATGGTGCGTGCAAGGCAGGGCAGATGGAGATGGCGGACATCTTGGTGAATGAGATGCAGAGTAAAGGCATTGACGTAAACCAAGTGGTGTTTCATACACTAATGGACGGGTACTGCAAAAAGGGGATGATGGATGAAGCTCTGAAGCTGCAGGATGTCATGGAAAAGAAAGGGATTCAATTTGATGTGTTTACGTACAGCACTATAGCTAGCGGATTGTATAAATTGAATAGAAATGAGGAGGCAAAGGCTTTGTTGTTCACAGTGGAAGAAAGAGGCGTGACTCCAAATGCTGTGTGTTTCACTATTCTGATAGACATATTCTGCAAGGAAGGAAACTTAGAAGAAGCAAAACGAGTATTCAATGATATGAAAAGGAAGGGAGAGAGACCTAACACTGTCACATACAATGCTCTAATTGATGGGTATAGCAAGAACGGTAACATGAACAAAGCTCGTAAGCTAAAGAAGGAGATGGAAGACAAAGGCTTGACGCCTAATACACGTACGTTGAATACACTCATACATGGCGAGTGTGTTGACGGCAAGGTGGATGAGGCACTGAAATTATTTCGTGAAATGCCTCGGAGGAATTTAACTCGCAATGTTGTCACATATACAACTATGATTTCAGGTTTGTCGAAGAATGGGAGAACACACGAAGCTCTTAAATTGTATGATGAGATGGAAAAAGCAGGCCTTACACCCGATAAAAGACTATATCGACTGTACCGTTCGCTTGTGGAGTTAGTTGGCGTGCCGAAAGAGAAGAATTAAGCTGAAGAACACCGTCTTCAATTGTACAAGAACAAAGAGAAATCGAGAGTAGGGTAAGGAAGTAGAGAAATTGTAGATAAATATTAGAAGCACAGCTGATTATACTGTAAGCTGAGAGGAATACGGATAGAGATTTTTTGTGTTGCAGAATACGAGGATTTCAATTTCTATTGCGATGCTTTTGAATTTTTATGTGCTCAGCAATGCTGCAGCCACCCCCAAAGCAGAAACAACCGAAAGTGCCAGCACCACCAACATGGGAGGCACCTATGTCGAGGGGCGGAAGTAATGGTCCCTTCACTAAAAATTCATGACTTGGTCCTTTAACTCATCAAAATGTGCAGTTATGGTGATTTTCGTTAACTCCATCAGAATTCCGTCAAACTGAGTTATGTTGGAAGGACCATTGCTACAATTGGGTTAAAGTTGATAGACCATTACTTCAACTGGGTTAAAGTTGACAGATCATTTCTCCTGTTGGGTTAAAGTTGAGAAACAATTTCTCCAGTTAGGTTAAAGTCGAGGGATAATTGTTACAATTTTTTTCATTTGGTTTTCCATATTTGCCCCTCATTTTGGTTTCATGTGTGTAGCACGTGAATCATTTTAACGGAAATTCTAATGAAATTGAAGAAAATGACCATAGATTGAGATTCTGAAAATTCGAAATGTTCCTAATCCAATCAAAACATTTCGATTTTATTATAGTTATTTACTAAAATGAGGTATTTTGTCATCAAATTTTTATTTTAGCACTGTTATTTTTAGTCTTTTAGATGCATTTTATTCATATATTTTTTTTAATTATACACATATATAAAAAATGATGAACATAATAGTACTGTAAAAGTAATTTGATTTATATTCAAGTAGGGTATCAAGTATTAAGATTAAACAATAAACCGCATGTAAGAAAAAAATTCAAGAATATCTAAAAAATTGTAAAATATACGAACTCTAAATTATGTTTTCGAAAATTCTAAAATAACTTTGATTCCGAAATTTCCGAAAAATTCCGAATGGATCCACATTTATTGGATGGAAATTCGCAATCTTATTTCCCAGCTGATCCTTCCAAAGCATTCAAAGTATATTCATGGGAGCCACTTAGTATTACGGTATATTAGTATTTCTCTTCACTTGTAAGTGAGTACTCTTAGGTTCGATTCTAGATAAAAGTGAATTTGACCCATATTATTGTTAACCTATTGTAAAGCTAAGCCCACTTCCTTTCTCCTTTAATGCAGATAATATCGTTTGTTCCAAAAAAAAAAAAAAAAAAGTATATATTCATCGGGAATTTGGTTGTCCTAATCAAACACATGCAAGTGTTGAACAAACCAAAGTGGTAAGGGTGACATGGATGGTCACGGTAAAATGGTGGCCTTGGTGGCATCGGTAAGATTCTAAAGAACGATACGTGCTAGTCGAGCTGAGCTTCATGCTTAGACGGCTAGGTAGGGGTTTAGGCGGACTAAGTAGATTTAAATAAATTTTATTATATATTGTTTGAATAAGTGTTTATTTATATTAAAAAAATACATAATTGTATTGCAATACATAAAATGCAAAATAAAACAACATATAAAGTATAAAGTATTAGAATATATTGATAACATGAGGAACAAACATATAATGAGTATTGATCCAAATAATCAACAAGTCTCTTACATTTATTGAAATAAATAAAATGCAAAATAAAAATTACCTATTTTATGTTTGGGTGGCTTGGACAGTCTAGGCGTTATTTTTTAATTTTCAAACGTTTATGAACTAATAAAGATGGAGACTAACCGCCTAGCGCCTAGATGAGGCCTAAGCAATGCTAGTCGGGGATTTTTAAAACATGACTGTCGCCTGTCGGTGAACGTGGTAGTGTAGTCCATAAAACAACATACAGAATACACCTGCTTAAGAATAAATACCGTCCAAATATACGAGGATGTTATGTTAGTTTGGTTTTTATTTTTGAATATCAATCTCTACCCGCAAAAATTGACACTACCTAAAACCTCAGCCTAAACTGAGCTTCTCCTCTTCTTTCCTTTGACAAATAAAATGACTCGGAAAACCTTCAAAACCTTGAAGAAATTCTTCCCCACAGACCCCACTTCGATATCACACCAAGAAACTGCCGAGAAAATTGCCAAAGCCCTAATCAAATCAGGCCTCCAACCCCTCAAATCCACCTCCCCGTCTCTTCTCTCCAATCTCAATCCCCACATAACCAACCTTGTCCTTTCAAACCCACTCTTCCCACCTCGTTCGTGCCTGAGCTTATTCAACTTTCTCCAAACAAATCCATCCCACAAACCCAATCTTCAAGCCCATGTAACCCTCATTCGCAGGCTTTACAATGCTAGAAGATTTGCCCAAATAAAGATTGTACTGAATGGTATCCTCACGGACGATGATCTTCGATGCCCGGTTTCCGAAATTGTGTCTCTGATTGAGGATCAGCCTGATGGGGTGAAAATTGTAGGGACATTGTGTGATTTGATGTTCCGGGTTATGCGGATAACAAGATGTTCGAGGAGGCAATTGGGGTTTTTGAGTATGTGGGCAAGAATGGGTTGGAGATTGAAGAAAGATCATGCTTTGCGCTCTTGCTTGCGTTGAAGAAACGCGGTCGGGTGGATTTGTGCTTGAGGTTTTTCGATCAAATGGTTGAAAAGGGTGCTCGAATAACGGTTTATTCGTTGACGCTTGTGTTGAATGAGCTTTGTAAGATGGGAGAGGTTGAAAGGGCCAAGGCTTTGATGGGGGAAATGGCTGGTCGAGGGACTAAGCCTAATGTTTTTACTTTTAACACGCTTTTGAAACCGTACATTGAGAGGAAGGGTTTCGAGGGTGTCAAAGAGGTTTTGAGGTTGATGGAGAAGGATGGTGTGGGTTATAATGTGGCAGCATGCACACTTTTGATTGATTGGTTCGGTAGTTCTGAGAAGATCGAGGATGCGGAGAAGATGTTCGAGGAAATGCGTGAGAGAGGGATAGAACCGGATTTGAATGTTTATACATCAATTATTAATTGGAATTGTAAAGTGGGAAATGTGAAGAGGGCGTTGTTTCTGTTCGACGAATGTACTCAAAGGGGATATGTACCGAATGTTCACACTTACGGGGCATTGATTAACGGAGCGTGCAAGGCAGGGCAGTTGGAGATGGCTGACATTTTGGTGAGTGAGATGCAAGGTCAAGGCATTGACGTAAACCAAGTTGTGTTTAATACGCTGATGGATGGGTACTGCAGAAGAGGGATTATGGGTGAAGCTCTGAAGCTGCAGGATGTCATGGAAAATAAAGGGTTTCAGCTTGATGTGTTTAGTTACAGCATTATAGCTAGTGGGTTGTGTAAATTGAAGAGGAATGAGGAGGCGAAGAGTTTGTTGTTCACAATGGCGGAAAGAGGCGTGGCTCCGAACATAGTGTGTTTCACTACTCTGATTGACATTTTCTGCAAGAAACTTCGTTGAAGCAAAGCGGGTATTTCAAGACATGGAAATGAAGGGAGAGAGACCTAACACTGTAACATACAATGCTCTAATTGATGGGTATATTAAAAAAGGCAAGATGAAGGAAGCTCATAAGCTAAAGAAGGAGATGGAAGACGAGGGGTTCATGCCAGATATATATATACATATTCATCGCTTATAAACAGCGAATGCATTGATGGCATGGTGGACGAGGCACTGAAATTGTTTCACGAAATGTCTCGGAGGGATATAACCCATAATGTTGTGACGTATACAGCAATGATTTCAGGTTTGTCTAAGGATGGGAGAACAGACGAAGCTTTCAAATTGTATGATGAGATGAAAAATGCAGGCCTCACGCCTGACAGCAGGGTATATCGCTCACTTGTAGGCGGCCTTCATATAGTCAAGTATTAGCTCTACGACTAAAAGTACGTTATCTTCTTCATTAGAAAATGGAAATGGATCAATTACTGGAATTTGAAAGAAGGGTTTTGAGTCAATAAACCACTTCATATAAGCTGGTTTCTGTCTGTTTGGTGGATAATTAATATTCGGCTCAATTCAATTAAGGCCCAGGTGTGCAAAAAGCTCCTTGTTTTTGGGCTGGTGAAGGCAGCAACTCAGGGTGGATTTAAATATTTGTTAGGGTCATATTTATTATTTGGCAACTAATAGGCATCAAGCCTATAATGGAAGTGATAAGGAGCAAAGGGCAGCTAACCTTCAGTGAAAAGGTACTTTTCCATGGCAGGGGTAGGTAAATAATGAAAAACAAATGGTGACTCATCCCGTTTCAAAAGCAATCATCGAGAGAGAAGTGCACTAGAAAAGGAAAACTTGGACACTTGGGCTAAGAAGTCTATAAAAGCAGCAAGGAAAGTAAGTAGAAGACTCTCAACACACTCAATACTCTGAACTCAACAACAAAAGACCAAATAGCTCTGTTTTTGTCTACACTCTTTCTAGTTATAATTCGACCATAGAAAAGCTTTCTTTTGTTAGTTTTAGAAGCTTTGCTACATATTCCCTTTTGTAGACCTTTGCTGTTATTCTATTCAAATAGGAGTGCCTGTTTTTGTAAAAACACAAGAACAAGTGGTCTGCGAGGAGACAAACCTTGCCCGCCAAGGTTGTAACCTTGCCTGAATCTCCTTTATTTGCATTTGTGTAAAGTAGATCTAACTTTTATGCATCTTATTTAGTCCCCATGTTTCCATTGCTTACCTTAAGGTTTTTCTATATGTTTAATCCTGTCAAACTAATTACCCTTATTTCCTTGTTGGCAATCCAAGTAGGCCAGTAAGGAAAACGCTTATATGAACAAGAACTTTCCTATAACTGGATGTATGATATTCAACAAAAGTCCTTGCTTACAAGGCAAGAAAAAGAACTTGATACAGACTTCACCTATATGTAAACAATCCGATCGAACTAAGAAGTCTAAGTGACATGTGGTGCAAGTAATCAATATATCTAATAATTAAAAGGACAATCTGTTAAACAAAGTTAATAGTGGCACGCTCAAATCTCTATTAGTCTTGATTGTGAACCTGAAGACCTAACAAAGGCCTCACAAAGGTGCCTTTCAGACTAATTTCAAACTTATGTTGCAGTAAACCAAAGCAGCAAATGTCGCTCTACAGGCAAGACAAGGGGACTTGTGTGAGGGACCAGCTACCCCGAACACTGTCGAAATGTTGAAAAAGAAACAGCCACCCCTCAACTAGGAGTGCTAGCTTTTGAATAAAAGATAAATATACAAGAAGTTACAGTAAAGAGTTTCACCTCTTCTCCAGAAAAAAGCAACGAAGGCCAATATTACGACTTTGAAGCGTTGAAACCTAGCCTGCTCGCACAAGTTTTTGACCCTCGAAGCTAAGTTCATTTCGGACGTTCTCCATATTCCAAGCCACAGCTTGCTGTACATTCACCCCCAAAAGCTGGCAGCTGACAGCTGAACTCCAGATTTCGTTAAAAGATACCAGAAATCTGAGCTGACGGGTTAGATACCATAGCCAGGTGCTGCATTTCTAAACAAGCAAAGGACCATAAGCCCCGAGGCCTTGGGTACCAAGCGACTGCTTGAGCTTCAAGAACGCTCGGCTCTCCAGCTGCCGCACCTGCTCCTGGCACAATCCAAACACGTTGCCAATCTCTGATAATGATCTCTGCTTGCCATCTTCAATGCCGTATCTTAGCCTGATTATCTGCCCCTCTCTTAAGTTGAGGATGTTTAGAAGGTGGCGTACATGTTGCCTCATAAGCTGCCTTTCTACACTCACATGTGGGATCTCAGTCCCAGTGCCAGCAGTAATCTCCTGCAATTATACAAAAAAAGACGTCTGGTTCTTTAACTGTTGGAGGATCCATGCTCAATATAGCCCAACAAATTGCAGCATATTCAAAACTTCAATTGCCTACAGCAATATCATTGAGACAAATGCGAGAAGCAAATCGAGAAAACGAGAATCTTTACCTGGAAAGTGGTGTCTTGGTCTGCCCAGACAGGTTGTTGCATTGAAAGCGGCATTCTTGTAGAAAATAGCAACTTCTGCAACTTTTCAACAGTAATTCCAACCCGTCTCGCAAGTTCTTTGTTTGGGTTGTGATTTCCTTCCTGAATACATGATTTCGTTGTCTCTAGTACTTTGCCGAGGAGGGTGTACACATTTTCCTGTGAATAATTTCTGGCTCACTGTCATACTCAATACAGTCCTTTTTGCTTTGCACACAGTGTGACATTGTTAACTTTTCGGTACTCAGACATGGGCTAATCGGTAGTATATTAACAAGGTAATTCCATGATTTTCATGGAGATAATCTAATTTTTTAGAACAGCATACAAGTAGTTGACGCAAAAGATGATACTTTGAAGAACCTCATGGAAAATTATGAATTAGAGACATGGTAATATTTTCATTACCGGCAAGCGGATAGTCCTGGAATGTTGAAATATCGCCTTCCTAACCGTTTGCCTTATCCACCAATACGCATAAGTAGCAAACCGGCAACCAGCTTGAGGTTTAAACTTTTCGACACTCTTCATTAGTCCCATACTTCCCTCCTACAAAAGCATCGCAGAAAAATAAAAATACGACGACAACCATTAGGTAGAGAATAGGTGTAATATTTTTCGTATTAGAAATTGCTGACAGTGGCAACAAAAATACGATGACAGCCATTAGGATGATCACAAACGATACCAACTTGTAAAATAATCGATCTGTACAGAATACAGATGCACTAAAACATGTTCCAATGAAGTTACCCGCATTAAGTCCTGAAGGCCAAGATCTCGTCCTTGATACTGTTTAGCAATGTGAACAATCATACGTAAGTTAGCATAAATAAGCTTTTCACGGCTGCTAGTACCGGAGCGAAGCTGTGATTTCAACATCTGACAACTAATTCCAATAGCTTCAGCCCATTCAACCGAAGTTGGTCCACGACCAAACTGTGATTGAAGTCTACTCTTCACTTCTTCTAACTTGAACAAATCCGGTTACACAAATTGACACATCAATGCCAATAAGACCCCTCAAAACCAGTAATGCTGAAATTAGCACTTAGCAGACAAAGATGAGTTAGATGCACACCTGAACTCGGGCAGTCAATTCCGCCTCTTCCTTGGCAGTCAAAAGTTGTCTTGTTTCTGGACCCCATAAGAACTTGTAGGACTGTTAGTCTCATGAATTAGAACTTTTGATTTGGAGAACCTCTTCTTTGATTTGGAGAACCTCTTCTTCTTAAGTCGCTTGAGCCGCCTTTCTAGAAATCAGGTTGACCTTACAGTTTTCTCGTCCTCAATTAGCCAGTTGTCCAAACTACAAAACTTTTGGCTTCAGTCGCAAAGCAATTTGATAACAGTAATAAAAATCAAACAAGTAAACAGAACTGACCCCATAGAAAGAGAGTCATCAAAATCATCTCCCATGGATTTGGAGGCTTCAGCAAGTGAGACAGCTTCTTTTGAGGCGGACAAAGCTTTCTTAGCCAGCGCAACTGCATCACAGGGCTCGACGTCCATATGTTTTACTGGAAGCAGTGGTAATAGGCTCCACCGTCAAATGTGTGGACGACTTTACCCCCGTCTGTAAAAATGAAAATTTGCAAAGAAGAGACAACTTAAGGATGCAATTTGGTTGTAAAATTGCGACCACCGAAGAAAAATGATGCAAGTAAAAGAAAAGCAAAGAAGAATTTTGTTCATCTTACACATCTAAAAGACCAGAGCGGTTCAGCAATTCATGCTCGGAGCACTTCACCAACTGGTAAAGCTTGCCGGAGTGCTGCTATGTGCGTGTAGGTTATTCAAGCTTGCATGGTCTTGTGTGCTTTTTGCAGGTAATTTAGCAGGAGAAGCTCAGCTCTTTGCTCTGTGAGACTATTTCACACCTCAAAATTATTTTATTGATTTTTCCGCTAGTGGATCAGGTTGGGCTTTAGATTAAAGGGCTTGACCCAGAATGTTTGACGGACCTTAGCCCAAAGCTGGCTCATTATTCTTTATCTGGCCCGATAATGTTATTCATCATTGCGTCCTCATATCTAATATTTTTGTTGGGTTCAAATTTGTTTAGAATGATTCTGTAGGAATCTATGAATCGATCATGTTCCTTAAACATCTCAAGAGGTCAAGGGCATGTCAGGGGTGCGACGAGATACAAGAAGCCTCTCAAGAAGAGTGAAAGGAATAAAACTACGAAACCAAAAGGCAACTCTAATCCTTTTGGTGTTATTGGGGTAGCTAGGCGACGCAGTGTCATTAGCGCAGGCTCCACTCGATCAAAAGCTCAGGGCAGTTCCTATACCCAGGAGTGTCGTTAGCGCAGGCTCATCAGGCGATGCAGCTGCAGCTAGACTTGTGTCAGCCGATGGGGCTGGACTAGTGTTAAATGGTATCAACCATATAGGTTTTTAGATAGATTAACAGATAAAGATCAAGGCTTTGTGACATAAAAAATGGTAATGAAGGATGAATACAGAGAGTAGAGAAATATGAGTATATGCTCTATATGAAATCGAAGAAGAAGAATACAAGGTTATAACCCCAAAAAACAGGGTTTTTGACCATTGAGATGGTTGACATATTGTCACAGAAAAGAGGAGTTTCCTCAGTTTGCATTTCTCTAAAGTCATCAAGAACAAATCTCAACCAGATGGATTGTGTTGTTGCCTCATATGCACATACTCAGCCTCAACAGTTAATAGTGCAATTGTGCTTTGTTTCATAGATGCCCATGAAAATACTCCATTGCCAAAGTTGAATGCATAACCTGAGGTTCTTCTACAATCATCTTCACTTCTGCCTAATCTACATCACAGAATCCAATGAGGATTGCAGACTTGTCTTTCACGTACTCAATGCCATAATTTAGGGTCCCTTGCACATATCTCAGTACCGTTCTTGCCACTCCCAAATGCTTCTTTGCATGACTATTTATGAACCTTGATAATAGACTTGCAGCATACATTAGGTCAGGCCTAGTTGATGCTAAGTATAACAGGCTTCCCATTATCTTTCTGTAAAGACCTTCATCAACCAATTCACTGCCATTAATCTTCTTAAGCTTTTCACCTGTAAGTAATGGAATGGATACTGGTTTGCAATATTCAAGGCCAAACTTCACAAGTAGTGATTTGGCATACTTAGTTTGATGTATGAACACTCCTTGATTAGTTTGTAGTATCCCCATGCCTAAGAAATGATGTAAAAGACCAAGATCAGACATTTCATATCTCTGCATCATTTCTCTTTTGAACTCATTAAGCATCTTCTCACTGCTGCCAGTGTAGACAATGTCATCTACATATATTGAGACAATTATTAGGCCTCCTTCATTATCTGATCTTGTATGCAATGTGGCTTCACTTGTGCTCCTTTTGAACTTACACAGGGAGATATATGCATTAATCTCAGTATACCAGGCTCTAGGTGCCTGTTTTAGTCCATATAGGGCCCTTCTTAACTTATAGAACTTGTGAGGTGCATTTTTCAACTCAAACTCCTCAGGCTGCTTAACATACACTTCTTCATCAAGCACACCATTTAAAAAAGCTAACTTAACATCTAATTGGAACAATTTCCAACCCTTTTGTGCTGCAAGTGCAATGAGAGTTCGAATTGTGTCTAACCTTGTCACTGGTGCAAAGATTTCATTGTAGTCTATGCCAGTTTTTTGTGCATAGCCTTTTGCCACATGCCTAG